AAGAAAGAAAGAAAGAAAGAAAGAAAGAAAGAAAGAAAGAAAGAAAGGAGGGAGGGAGGGAGGGAGGAAAAACATTAAAGACCTAACAGTTATAAACACAGAATCACATCTTTTTTTAACTGTCGCTCTCTGTCTCTCTCTCTTTTTTTAATTTTTATTTTTTATTATTAGTTACATTTTATTAACTCTGTATCCCAGCTGTAGCCCGCTCTCTCATTCCCTCCCAAGCCCTCCCTCCCTCCCTCCCTCATCTCCTCCCTGCCCCTTTCCAAGTCCACTGATTGGGGAGGACCTCCTCCCCTTTCATCTGACCCTGTTTTATCAGGTATCTTCAGGACTGGCTGCAAAATCCTCTGTGGCCTAACAGGGCTGTTCTTCCCTTGGGAGGTAGGGAAGTCAAAGAGCCTGCCATTGAGATCCTGTCAGAAATAGTCCCTGTTCCCCTTACTATGGGAAAGCAATTGGTTACTGAGCTACTACGGGCTTCATCCGAGCAGATATTCTAGGTTATATCCACTTATGGTCCTTGGTGGAATATCAGTCTCAGAAAAGGCCTCTGTGCCCTGATATATTTGCTCCTTGTGGAGCTCCTGTCCTCTCCACGTCATACTAACTCCCCCTTCTTTCATATGATTCCCTGCGCTCTGCCAAAGGTTTAGTTATGAGTCTCAGCATCTGGTTTGCTACACTGCAAGGTAGTCTCTCAGGGGCCTCCACATCTCTCTTGGAAAACTTGTTGTTGGGCGTTGTTCTGATTTTAGCCCTCAAGATCAGGTTAAACCTATCCGTGTTGTGTAAACCTGCCTAAGTCATTATACCTGACTGGTTGATTAAACAGCCTCTACCTGGGCAGGGCAGGATGAGGTAGGCCTGACAAAGGTTCCTGGGCTTAGGACATGAGAATGACAGGAAACAGACAAATAGAAAGAGAGGAGATAGGAGGAAGCCATGGTCAGTTAGGGTGGAGAAGAAACCATGTGGGCTGGAAGGACTCCAATAATGGTGTGAAAAGGCCCAGATGAAGAATACAAGCAAGTGCCAGGATTATCAGTGGAAGGTAGACCAGATGAGGAGGATTAAGGTGGATGGCATTGGATGGGGGCTAGGAGATGGATGATGAGGTTATTCGGGAATATCTTCCCAGCCCAAGGTAAATAAGACAATTATAAAATCTAACAGGTGTCTGTATTATTTGTGATAGCAGGTTAAACAATACTGCCATGGTAATCTAAGGGCTAATAATAAACATTATATAGCCCAACACCATTTTTTTATTTACTACAACAGTTCGTAAATAATTAAATATTAATATAGGAAGGAAGAAAGTAACAACCTGAAAATCTTTAACATAAATAAATAGTTGAAGGAATTGCAATTAGACAGCAGAGAGGAAGACCAAAATGAGAAAGATTATAGGAAATACAGATTATTATGTAGAGCAAATGTAAAAAAAAGACAAAAAATACTCTTTGAGAGGGCTGGAGAGATAGCTCAGCAGTTGAGCTCACTCACGGCTGCTCTTGCAAAAGATCTGATTTCAATTCCCAACACCAACATGGCAGTTTATAACCGTTTATAACTGTAGTTCCATGAGACCCAGTTCCCTATTCTGGTGCGCAGACATACATGCAGACAAAACACCCATATACATAAGCAAATAAATCTTTAGTAATAACAATAATAATAGTAAATAACGTTATTTTAACCAATAAAAATAAACCTGATGATTCAGGCAAGTAATCCTAGCTACTCAGGAAGCTAAAGCAAGAGGCTCGTAAGTTCTCAATCTTCCTGGGCTACAGTGAGTTTAAGGCAATCCTGGGGTTATAAAGACCCTCTCTCAAAATAGGCGAAATCAAAGATTTGATATAACTCAGTAGTTGAACATTTTCTTAGCAGATGCCAGACCCTACATTCAACCTCCAATACCATTTTTTAAAAACATAAAAATGAACACACGTTATTAGAAGTAGCTTTGTTTACCTAAAATAAGATAATTTTTTTAAATTTTCAGTTCTAATTTAAATCACATAAAAGTTAAATTAATAAATAGTATCCTTTACTTCTTATTTCAGTGTTGAAAAGAAAACTAGCAAGAATTTCCTGTTCTGGAAATAATACCTACTCTCACCCATCAGGTCCAACATTTGTTTGGCTAAGCCCACCCTCTAGTGGAGGTCTGTGATATTGCATAACAAAACCATCAACAGAAATAGTTTTTACTTTATGTGTATAAGTGTTTTGCCTACATGTATGAATGTACACTATGTGCGTGCCCTGTTCCATCAGAGGTAAGAAAGGGGAATCAGATACCCTAGAACTGGAATTACAGATGGTTGCAAACCATCATGTATGTTTGCTAGGACCCAAACCGGAGCAGGTCCTCTGCAAGAGCAACCAATGTAATTAACCACTGAGCCATCTCTCCAACCTCTATAAAGTTTTTTATTTGAGCATCGCTGTAGTCCATTCCATTACTTTACAGAAAAGCAAATTAAATCAGACTGAATACTTTGTGGACAAATTTCAGCAAAATTGGTTCTAATGAAATAATGAATAAACTTTAATATGTAAAGTCTACAAATGTACATCAGCTATAAAAGATATTTGTGCACAGTGACAGGGAAATCAACAGAAGAAGCCTATTTAGTAGTTAACTAAACCTAAGCCAGGCCCCCTTTCTGTTGTAACACACCATGACACTGACTGTTCAGAAGTTGTTTTGTTTTTTGTTTTGTTTTGTTTTAGCCTAGGAGAGAAATAGATAGCCATTGGAATTATTAATTTGATATTTGGGGAAGGGGGTTCACAGTAAAAGTCTGATTCTCAATCTTGCTTTCTGCATCATTTTGAAGAGACATGTAAATACCGAGGTCATTTGGAATCCAAGCTAAAAATCGTATTTACTGTGACAACTACAACACAGATGAGTGGAGCCAAGGGTGAAGGTAGGAATAAAACTTCCATCAATACTCCAACTCAAAATTTAATTGTTTAAAAATTCAGCCAAAATTTTGTTTTCATCCGGATATAGTGAGGTTCACTGATCAGGCTGACCTTCAACAGACTCCTAGAAAGGACAGTTCCCATGGGACAGGCCTGGAAGCAGGTGACAGAGGAAAAGTAGAGAGCAGGGCCTTTGTTGGAATCTGAATGTCTTACTGAGTCAGGAAGGCAGACTTTGTAAGTTTAGGATTGCAAAGTTTACAGAAACCTCTGGGTCTTAGGGGTCACTAACTGTCCCACCTCTGGTCCTGAATGGATTTACAGCAAGAACATGGACTTGGTGCATGGAAATTTACTAAAGGAGGTGGTTGAAGGCCATAGACAGGTTTGTATACCAAAAGCATGCTTTGGAGAAAGCATTTGCTATTGCTATCAATCAGCTTGCCTTGGGAGGGGAAGCCCAAGATTTCAGAGCCTCATATAATAGAGAGGGGAAAAAAGAACTCACAGTCAGTACAAAATAAAGATAGAGAATAATGTAAGAAAAACTGAAATAGAGCAAACCCACAACTAGGGAAGTTGAAGGTTAAACATTAATAAAATTTGAAATTTAGTTCAATAAACCAATTTAAAACTTCCTTTTTGTAATGTAGACAACTTTTAAAATATGTAAAAGTGAAGCACACAGTGAGTGATTTTAAATAACACCAGCTGACATCTTTAAATAGTCAAAAAAACTGAGAAACAAATCACAAGTGTGAAAGGGGCGTTAACGATGCCTACAGACAAGGAAGTAGTGCACAGCGCTGTCGCTGGGAACACTGCAGACACGGCCCTTTAAAGAACCCCACACATGTCCCTCAGGGAGGCTGAAGCTACAAAGCAGAGCAGGTAAGCAAAAGCATGGAATGGTCTCACGTTCCATGGAGCAGTGCGTCACTTCTGTAACATCCTCTCACAAACATTTCCTAGTAAAATGTTCTAGAATAGTCAACCCACAACTGTGCTATGGGGGAAAACACTGCTAAGTCTGATAAGTGATATTCAGTCCTTTTGTCTGTACGGCATTGTCGGAAAGTAAAGCTTGGCATAAAATAGAGTTTAGTGAGTTTTTATCCCCACCCCATGTGCACAGACACTGAGTATAAACACGGAAGGTACACAGCTACAAAAGCTTCCTTGGCTCTCTGTACCAAATCGCTTCTCTGGCACAGCATCGCCAAGCATTGCCCTCAATGTAAGGTGTTCTGTCCCAGTGCTGTCGCCATGGAGATCATTAGAGAAGGAAGCAAGCTGGTCAGTAACACAAAAGCGACATTTGCCTTTGGTTTTCCTCAGCTCCTCCACAAGGCACCGAGCCTCCTCCTGAACCTGGTCCTCAATGCTCCTCTTGCCCATCCCAAAATTCCTCAGGGTCATGATGGAGAAACGCCAGATCCCCTTCCATTTCCTCCCGTTGCTGAAAAGGATTCCTACCAGAATTGGGAACAGAGACCAGTCAGGAGGCAGATGAGGACCTGGCACACAGCACAATCGGGACAGCCCAGAGCAGCCTGAGAAAGCTTCAAGACTCATCTGCATGGCCAAGGCCCAACTCACACATGCACACTCTTGTACCCACACTTACCAAGGCCTTTGTTAACCCTTTCAGATATTGGAAAACTGCCTCTTCCAGAAAAGTCCTCTCCTAGGTCAACAAGAGCTTCCTTTACAGCTTCATAACCATGAAGCACCACAGTGGGCTTCAGGCCGAAGTACAGAGTGAACACGGGGCCGTAGGCTTTTGAGAACTAGAAAATTGAAAAAGAAAAAAAAAAAAAAAGTCACTGTGTAGACTACATGTTGTACCAGATCCACTGACGTCATCATACTGTTGGTACTTTTTTTGTTCCTATAACGTAGCTACAAATGTTGCTGGGTTTTATAAGTAAAAGTGATGCTGTTTGCTACAGCTGCCGCAGGCAGAATGTCCCCATCTGCCGGGTAATGACGAGGGAAGTGCTTCGTGGGTCATCACCACGCGCCAACACCTTGAGCTACAATTTACTAATTTTACAGCTAGAGAGACCGAAGCCCAGAGAATGTCCAGTTTATCTCAGCATTACACGGCTAGTAAATATTAGGCCCAAATGTGAACCCTGCTTAGTGGATTTCTGTGCAGTCAGTCCCCAAAACCCACACTGGACAAATCTTCAGGTGGTATTAAACTTGCTTCAAGATCACCAGCTAAGCTCTTTTCAGGGAATTTTGTGACTAATAATTAAAAATCTACTTTTTTTTTTTTTTCAGGTCCCTTGGGTCTGGAGAGATGGCTCAGTTGGTAAATGCTTGCAGTGCAACCGTAAGGAGCGGACTTCGGATCCCAGCATACACATAAAAAGCTGGGTGTTCTCCGGTCAATAATACCAGGCCTGGGAAGGCAGGGACAGGACGACCCTGGGACTTGGTAGTCAGCCCGACTAGCCAATCACTGAGCTCTAGGTTCAGTGACCAAACTAGTCTCAAAACAAAGAAGATGCAGAAGCAATTAAAGACACTCAACTACAACCTCTGGTCCCTTCAGCCACACATGCGAACACATACAGCACACACACACACTCACAAACAAACACATACACACAAGCAGAGAGAACTTATGCTCACTATAGCATTCCACTATTTCTGACAATGAAGCTAAATATAAGAGCCTATGGGAGTGTTTCCTTTACAATAAAATACATAATGGCAGAGATTAATTTTCTGTTGTAACCTACTGGAGAAATTTGAAAAAAAAAAAAAAAAAACCTTACTTTTTTTAAAGATTTGCTGACGTCCTTCACATCTATCTGAAGGATGTTTCCAACAAGTGGGAGAGGTGTGGGGCCAGGAGGGAGCTTCCCTCTCCCTGAGCTCTGTCTCCACAGTGAGAGGAGAAGCAGAGAGGAGAGAGTGAGCGCCAGGACCAGGACAGGATCCATGCAGCCTTCTCTTCTTAGGCAGACACCAGTGAGCTGGCAGTCCAGAGTTTTTATAAAGCTAGCTGCCCTTTCCACATGGGCCTCTGGTACATAGTGACTAATCAGCAAGGTGCACTTTAATCTTTGTGGACTCTGGCCTGCTGGAAAACACATATGGAGTCTGTTCTTCACTCTCTCCTGCCTCACCCTGAAAACCTGCTGTAACTAGCCCGGGGCTTCTTTTGTTGTTGTTGTTGTTTTTAAAACATCCCAGGTAGTTCCCAACGTGCAATCTAAACTGAGGGATAGTGAAGTAAATCATTTGATACGAAGATCTCTCTAACTTCTTCTTTCTTAGAATGATGATCACTGGGAATGTATTGGCATTATAATACTTGCTTTAGTGTGCTGTGATAACCTTAGATTAATTCTTCATCAGTTAAGCCACGTAATCAGCTCAGTAAATACATGCAACTTTTGCCGTTAAATATCCTACAAACCCTTTGAAAAGGGGCAGAGGTTACTTTTCACCTCTCCGAGGGCGCAGGATAGCAAAATAGCGGGGGCACCACCCACAGACATCAGTCAGGATATACCCTACACTGACAAAGTGAGGCCTGTGTTCTCAGGAGATTAAATCAAAAATACAATCTCTCCTTTTCATTCCCTCAGGAGGGAGAACTCTCTCAGTTAATTGAGGGTCCCAGGCAAAGCCCCTGCACATATTCCTCACTTCCAGGCTGGGCTGCCTGAAGTTTAGAGAGGGATAACACAAACTTGTCTTTTCTCCCCCTTTTCTGTGTGACTTTTCTTATAATTGGGCTAAGCCCGGGTGCTGAGGTCTGTCACCTGGTTAAATTTTTTTTTAAGCTCTTGCAGCAGTGTTTTCCTATGTGGACAGTTGCTCAAATGGATGATTCTCTTGGGAAAAGAGAACAAATTTCTGACTATTCCACCATCTTGCTCAGTCTTTGCAGAAGAGCCTAGCCTCTCAATATCTTCCTCATTCTTCAGTCCAGAAGCAACAGCTGCTTTGGTTGCTTTTTGACCTGTTACCATCAGAAATGAAGATGTATATACAGTAACACACAGACGTTGCATGAAAATGAAGCGCCCACTGCTTGACTCTTTTTTTTTTTTTTTTTTTGATTCGGTATAGAAGGTACTTTTGTGTCTGTGTTTGGCTTCTTTCATTCAACCTGTCTTTCAGGCTCATCCATATTGTGCCAAATAAAGATGAAAGCCACAATGTATACATACACACTAGAATATCTTTATCTAATGATGGACATTTAAGTTGTTAATTAATCTTTTTTTTTTAAGATTTATTTTTCAGAAACGGGGAGCTTTCTGAAAAAAAAGCTGACCCCAAACTATCAAGTCTCTTTAAGACTGCCTGCATCCTCTTCCTCTGTGGCCTCACAAGGCCACCTTACTCAGGGGCAGTGACTGAAGAGCAGGAAACAGAGTTCCTATCAGAGGCAGCCCCTGGTTCCCTTACTAGGTAACCTATATGGAGACTGAGCTGTCTATTGACTACATCTGAACAGGGGGCCTGGGTCCTCTCCTTCCTGAGGATTAAGGGACAAGGATAATGGGAAAGAGGGAAGAAGGGTGGGACAGGGAGGAGATGATGGAGGGTCTATGATGGGGATGTAAGATGAATAAATTCATTTTTTAAAATACCACTTAATATTGAAATATGAATCACACTTGCCATTAAAATTTAACAAATGGTTGCATGTTAATCAAAGAGATAAAACAAATTTACTAAATTGTAGCCAAATAGAACTATTACTATTGCAATAAAATTTTATTTTGGAAGCTAAAAAAAAAAATTATTTTTTAGTGTGAGTGTGTGTGTGTGTGTGTGTGTGTGTGTGTGTGTGTGTGTGTGTGTTGGTATATGCACATGAATACAGGAGCCTGTAGGGCCTAGAAAATCTCAGATCTCTTGGCACTGGAAGTTCTAGGGGTTACTAAGCCACCTGACATAGGTGGTAGGAGCCGAACTCCAGGCCTCTCCAACAGAAGTGTGCACTCAGCACCGAGCCGCCTCTCTGTCCCCTGTTTCTATATCTTGGCTGTTATAAATAATAATAAACTAGCATCATAATTTTGAGCCACAGTTCAGGAAAATTACGTTTTGTTAAGACCCCAAACACACAGTGTTCTATTACCTATCCTACTGGGGTGCCTAACAATTTGTAGGCAACTTTCACTCCCATCATATCCCTTAGGATTCTCTCAAGCCGTCTTACCCATACTGAGGTTGGAAGAAGCTGAACTTTGGAGATTCTGTGCTTTGGCCAAAAATACACAACCTCTAGGTAGTAGAGCTGGAGCTACAACCTGTGTCCCTCATGTTTTGCATTCTTCTCTTTGTGAAAGATTTCCACTTTATGTGGGTTCACCAACGTTGAATAATTGTGTAACATGATTCAATCTTGATTCAGCCCAATCAATGACTTTCAAAGTATTCATTAACTAGGTAAATAACACACCCAGTTAATTTAAATGGAGGTCAGAAAAGTTTTTGCTTTCATAGCCTTGGTATTTGAGTGATCTCATCTTTCTTTTTTTTTGTTGTTCATTTGTTTATTAATCATTTATTTATGTATTTATTGTGTGTATGTCTCTGCTCAGGGACCACATGGGTCTTGAACACTAACATGGAGGTCAGAAGACAATGTAAGTCCATTCTCTCCTTTCACCATATGGATTCTTGTAATATAATTTAATTTATTAATCTTGGTGACCAGCACATTTCTATATCTGTTGAGGCATCTTGCCAACCCTAGTCTCAAATCTTAGGAAGTGCTTTAGTCAGGACAAAGAAAATGAGTTGTTGTATTGATTGGTTCACATGTTATTTTGGACTGCATTAATTCAGTGATTCTTTCAAATACTCTTAATTTCTTGAGGAATTGGTATCTCTACTCCTCTTGCCAGCTGAGGCTTCTGCTAAACCCTATTTCTTTGTAGAATTCAAAGTGTTATGGCTGAGTAGAGGCAGAAGAGACTTCAGGGTATAGTACAAGCCTGCTTTGTATTTTAGGAATGAGGAGGGAGGGACTTAGTGAATCGACCAATATCAAACCTTGTTCTAGAACCCAAGTTCGAATTCCCAGGTCAGTGACTCTAGTGTCAAAGTCATTTCAATGAAGCCCTCCATAGTGACAAGGAATATGAACCTCAGCTTGGATAGAATCATGACCTAAGTGAACTGAAACTGTCTTTTCTTGAGGCTCTGTGGCCCAGGCTGGTCTAGAACTTGAGTGTCCTCCTACCTCAGCTTCTAACCTAATCAGGTCAAAGCTACAGCTACAGCCACCAAACCTGACCTAAAATTGTCTTTTAGAAAAAGCATTTTACTGAGGTCTAAAATACATACTGATGGTTACAAACATCCCAAATGCACCAGTAAGTTTTTACAAAGTAAACCCATCTGTGAAACCAACATACAGTACCAAAAAAAATTCATTTTTCCAGACCACGTAAGTTCCCCGTCGTTCCTCCTGCTCACTACCTTTCCTGCTTAACTAAATGATCGGCTATGATGCTTTAGATCAGTGCGATATTCATTGCTGTAAGAAAATTGCTGAGGAAAGTTACTTACTAAGAAAAACCAGGTTTGTTTAGTTCACGGTTTTAAAAGCTAGGAGTCCAAATAGCATGTCACAAGCATTGGTGTGAAGAACAACAGAGCGCACCTCTACACAAGGGGTCAGAGGACTCGCTAAGGTCAGTCTTGTTCATATTTTCCAAATGCTTTAAGTTTCTTATACTTTTATTATCATAGTGTTTGTGTTTTCATCTTTATCCCCAAAACATTGTGTATTCAGCACTTTCCTTTATTTATTTTTAAATCACTGGTTTATGTTTGTTTGCTTTTTGCTTTGGGTATTTTGTTCTGTTTTATAGAGACTGGTCTCACTATGTAGCCCTGGCTGGTCTGGAACTCTATGCAGACCAGGCTGACCTTGAATTCACAGAGATTCACCTATGTCTACCTGGAAAGTGCTTGAATTAAAGGTGTGTGGCATTATGACTGGCCTGTTTCATGTTTTGTTAATGCTTTTAGTTAACATAATAAGTAGTGGGTTTCTGGGTAATACTTCATTTTCATACATTTGTGCCACTGCACATTGTTCTTTTGTTATTATAACCACTCTGATAAATGTGTAATGCCTTACCCGTTTCAATTTGCATTTCTGTGTTGCTTCAGAATGCTGAGCACTTTTTCAAATGTCAAATAGAAATATGGAACATTTATATTTTTAATATATTTTTAAATTAAATGTAATCAAATAATCCCCTTTCTTTTCCTCCCACTGGCCTTTCCCTTGCTTTCTCTCAAATTCATGGCCTCTATTTCTATGTCACACATACACACACCAATAAATATTTAGAACATAATAAGGAATTGTGCTGGATTAGTAAAGTGATGGTTATAGATAGGTTCTCCTCCAAGATCCATGCTCCAGGGAAGTTTGCTAGGTTTCCATTACCAGGCATAGTATGGACCTTAGGTACAATCGAAGGGTTACCACCAAGGTGTGTGCCCCACCATAGCACCCTTAGGGATATTGTGCTGTGCTGGTCATTGTTTTAGTTGACAGACATCATACAAAGAGAGGACTATTAATTGCTCCTCACTTGGTAACTTGCATAGTGCCTTCTGGTACCATGAAAGGTAGTCCTCCAGAGCCAGCTCACATTCCTGGGATCCTGTGTCCCTCGTTCATGTGTTCTACAATAAGGACTTACCCATCCCTCACCTCTGGGAGGCAAGTTAGGGCAATAGCAATGCTTTTGGACAACCCTGCCATGCAACTCTCATACCTGCTATTGGGGTTCTTGTTAGATAGTTTACGGTCTTTAAGGGGAGCATTGGCAGCCCAGATGAAAAATTTTCATTCAAACTATATATGTATATACAGACTGGAACTGGTTTTTTTTAAGAAACATTTTATATAGTTTTATATAGGTCCTTTCTTGATTGTAAGTAAATATGTAAGTTCATAGACAATACCATTTATTATTTGATT